CAAAGAAATTTCACAAGTAACGCATGAGGATGGATGATATAGCTAGACGAATGAATATTCTAAGAAATAAGAAATTATGTAGGAATGACAAAACGATAGATAACTAACGAGAAATCCAGTAATAATGTGATTATTTCGACTTAACTAGTTTGTAACCAAAATTTTCTGTAAGCCACAGGTTAGAGGAGACGGTTGAAGAGAAGCCGCCTGCTTTTACTTTATTGAAGTGAGTAAAAAGAAAAATGTGCAGACTTGGAGAAATTTCGGTGACAGACTCTGGCAATTTAATCACTTCTACTCTGAGGTGCCATTAAAAAGTGTATGAGGGTAACGCTGTAATCTCATAGTGTTAATTTCTGTATTCTTTATAGGCAATAAGCTGCCCCCCCCCGCCCCCCACCAATGCTTTTTGACATAATAGGAGCAAGAAGGGTTGCTTATTTCACGTTCTAATGCATTTGAATATGCACTCGTTATGCAATCAAGTTAAGAGTGCAAATATTGTTGGTAGCTTTAAATATGAACATCAAATCTTAATAATTTGGTTTCTGTAGTCAAAAAAGTAAGAACGAACTTAGTGAAAATAGAATTATTTATCAAAAACAAAGTACCGAAAAACACTTAAATAGTACACATATGCAGTCTATCTTCTCAGTCACATGATATACACAAAAGTGAAGAAAATTTCTGCAGAATTTAACCAGCAGAGAAAAAAACTACTACTAAATATCAAGTACCGTAGTAATATTACTATTATATCATTTCATTCCTAGAGGAACAAGGCTTCAGCTGTGCGTCTCCATTGCCTTCGGTTCTCTGCCAACATTTCCACCCCGCTCCAAGTCTGCCCACACACTTTCGTCTCCTCATCATATAACCTCCTCCAAGTTCCCCCCCCCACCCTATCACTGACGACCAACTCGCCGCCCTCCTCCCTTCCGAGTTCCACTCGAGTGATGGTTTGTCTAGTGATGTCACTTGATGGTTTCCTCAGCGTATGGCCAGCCAATCCATCTCGATTTCTTCCTGCCTATTTGTTTCACAATCGGTTCCTGCTGTGTTGGTTCGCTCAATGCCGAAGATCCCTGCATGTTGCTGATCTTTTCTGGCTGGCCATCTGATCTTGAGTGGTATTGAGCGAAGACAACTGTTAATGAAGGTCTGAAGTTTGTTTGTGATGCTGTTTGCAACGCGCAGTGCAAGTCTCTGATCCGTATAGTGAGTACCACTGACTGACTTCACATTGGAGTTGAAACTCCGGATGTTATTTTTCGGGCTGAGTAGTGGGGCTGTTGACCTCCACACAGACTTGTTGAGAGTAATGAAAGGTTGTCTTGCTTTTCCGATTCTGGCTTTGATATCCTCGTCACTTCCGTCCGCCTGTAGTTGAAACGAAGCCTCCCAGATAGGTCGGTAGGTAGAGGAGGTTGTTTCTTTCAGGTTCCTCCCATTTATGCTGTCTGTTGTTGTTTCTGTGGCTGTGGTTGTTGGTGTTGGCCAGGAATCTTCATCACCTCTGTTTTATCTATGTTCACCTGAAGTCCTATTTTCTCTGGATGCTTCTTCATCCAGCTTGTTGCTTTTCACTTACATATCTTCCAGTTTGTGGGAAATCAGACATATATATGTCATCAAGGGCGAAGTTCAGATCCTTCAAGTTTGTCTTTGTGTGAGTCCATTTAATGCCTGTTTCCTCATTGGCCGTTTTCTGTCTCATTATCCAATCTACTGCAATCAGGAAGATCATTGGCGACAGTAGACAGCCTTATCTCACTCCCGTCGTCACTTCGAAGGCTTCCGTAAGTTCCTAGTTGTGGATTACTTGGCATTCAGAATTGTCGTATAACTGTTGGATGAGATGTATAATTGTCGATGGGACCGCTTGGTAGTAGCGAAGTAGTTGTCAAATGACCTCTCGATCGACGCTGCGCTATCGAAGGCCTTTTCAAAGTCGATGAAGTTGAGTGAGATAGAGAGGTGACTGATATTCCAAGCTTTGTTCAAGCCGTAGTAATACATCTTACTTAAATTATATTTCCTTTGTCAGTCAATGAGATATAATCTCAAATACACATTTTCTTATCTTTTCTAAATGCACAAGTGACTTCTGCAAGTGCATTATAGTTGTATTTATACTATTTACAGATATCTTCAGGCTATTGTCAGCCAATATTTCCCTAATTATTAAAAATACAGATTGTTGTCACTACATTATAACTGAAAGTGTGCTGAGTAAATTTTATTATCTACACTAAGTGAAAATAGCCATAATTCTAGTTAATAAACGCTTAAAAATGTTTTGTGAATATTATTTGAGTGAAGAATTAAAGAAATCCTTTGTAAATAAAAAAATCGAATTCGAAAAATCTCCATTTTTCTTAGGAGTACTGCATATCAATATGAAAAATAAAGTCAACTTTGACTGCTTAACACACTGACTATGGATTTTGCATTACAAATTATTTTGAAAAAGGGTGGTTTGACACACTTAAAGGTATTTTATTTTACTACTCAAGAAGTAGTTTGATAATAGGCAAAGCGAATTTCCTCGAAATCAATCCAGTGACTGGCAGTAAGTACACCAGGAATATTTGATCGCTTGTCACAAATTATTTTACGCTTATAACTAATTCTAGAACCTTTTTCTGAACGCCTTAAACAAAGTCTCGAGTATGCTTTTAATTAAAAATAGGATGACACTTGGCTTATATTCATTTTAAGAATGAGTTGTGGAGTGATCGATCATATATATGTTCAAGAAATAACCTTGGTCCAAATGATTAGTAATCATTTCCAGTATGATTTGTATGTCTTTTACCTTCAAATGATGTACTTTTGAATTTATGTGCTGTTTAAAGTAGACTATATATCGCGTAAGCTAACTGGTCAAATCTGAATTTATAGATTCATTAACAACATACCTGATTAGTCAGTTAGTTAGTCTTAATGCCAACAGAAAAATCAATCCGTAAATAAGAAACAGAATAAACTATGAAAGAAGTACAGTAGAAATACTGCTTTGAATAGTGAGATCAAATCAGGAATTCAGACTATAGCGTACAGGTTATACAATGTCTATAGTACATTGAATGAGGTAGCTTTTTTTTTAGCATATTTAGTATCATATAACCTCTGTGTTTACCGTGTGGGAATACCTCTACTTTAAATTAACGAGATCAGGCATTCTAAACGAATGTAGGTAAAGAATCACGAAGCAAGTAATATGAAAAAAGTGAAGCATTTTTGCGCTGGGAAACTGATTGAACGGGTAGTCCAATAATGAAGAATATCAGGTGTCTACATGTCACAAGTCTGACTACATGATCCAGCAGCAAATTATACACCACAGTTTAACTAATAGAGAGCCAGTCATTCCCATTCTATACCGTTTCTGAAGTTTTGATGTGGTTTTGTTCTCTGAGCTGGATGGTTAGTTTGCGAAGCTTTCATCGCCCTACTGGGTGACATCTTCAGCGCATACTTCAATTTGAAGACTTCAAATTGAAGTATGCGCTGAAGATGTCACCCAGTAGGGCGATGAAAGCTTCGCAAACTAACCATCCAGCTCAGAGAACAAAACCACATCAAAATTATCCACCTGAGCTACAAATCTTCCCTATCATACCGTTTCTGAAGTCCTAACAACTTACACTGAGTAGAGTGTGCAATATATATTTCTCAAATGAGATTTGTCTTCCTATATATGCATCTTACCACAGAGTTTAAGCTGAAAGTGTACGGGAGAAAACTGCTTATCATAAATCATGAGATAAACGATTAACACTGAGATTTATATGATTTACAACGAATACAGATGATGTTTAAATAATGATATGAAATATGTGAGAGGAACCCGGATACTTTATTCACATGAGAATATTGAAAACAAACCTACACACAATTATCGGAAATACACAATGCAATTTTCAATTTATTGCGGCGATAAATAAATAAATAAATAAAAGAACTATGATGAAACAGAAAAGTAGCAACAGAAAATAAGTAAATCAAATAGTGTTTAACACGCATCTTGTTTTAATCTACAGGACAACAACAATTTCCCGTATACTATTAAATAGGCGAATTCGTCCATGTTGAAGATCTTACCTATAAAATGATCCGAGAAAATTCGCAGAGCTAAGGTTGAAATCGTTAAGAGAGATTGTACAACAAAATATAAGCAACGAGTCATTCAATGACCACAACAAATCTATTTGCGGAAAGTGAGACTTCAGTCGGCTCAACAGTTTACCTGTTCACAGTTTACTGACAACAGTTTTTTTTCTCATTTAGTTATTCTCTCCCGTATATTGTAACTTGTAGTTTCGTATATTGTTTCATCTCTCAACACTTCTGTGTATGCTAACTTGATTAGTTTCAAGGATACGTCAAGAAGGCTCACTAAACTTCACAGTTTCAAATAAAGTTCTTCGAAAACGCTACCCTGAATAGGTCAAGGAGGTACTCCTTCTTTCACAAGTGCGACCATCGTAATTTTTTACAACCCTCTTGTTCACAGCTAGAAAAATATACCAGTAAGTTGGGTGGGTATTCGAATGAAGCCGTCAAAAAAATTCAGGATATAACTGCCATTAAATTTTAATACTACAATATTAATGACGATGTTTGTAACGCGATAGAGATCAGATTATGGTCAGTCAACTACAATTCGACTTAACTATGAAAATTAAAAAAAAAAAACTTTAAAAGATTTTGCAACATCACAAACAACGAGTGGCCGTCTGTGTTCGTGAAAACAGATAATATGGGTCTGGCTGAGTAAACTTGAAAACAACTTAAAACAATTCATGGACTAAATAAAAACAACAATTTGAAGGGAAATACAGCCTACATTACAATGAACGTTGAAAGTCTCTGGAAAATAAATATACTCATCCACGAGTCACTGAGTGAATCCATGAGTGTTTTAAAAATATTTCACTGCATTAAATAATGCATACAACAACAACCGATAATTTTTAAAAAGTATGCGTACCAACCTGCCGTATCCACATGGGAATGTAACCACATATTCTTCATCATGACTTAACAATGATATAACAGCTGAACCAACCATTTCTACAGCTATACTTAAGCCAAGAAATTTTGACTTTGTCCACAAATGTCCATCTACTGCTATGCGCTTGTTGACATGCTCAGCGTAGAAAGCTGATATAGGCGGATGATGTGATACCTGGAAAAGAAAGTTTTCAAAAAGCAGTAAATATTCATTTGTGCATGCATAGTATTACATTTTCAAGGATTGGTGACATGTAGTAATGAGCTTCACACTAAAAACAGAAATATATGACAGAAATAGAATATGTGAAATATACTTTTCATCTACACTAGATATTCAATGAATAATGTCGCACTGGTGACATACAACAACTACAAGAAGTAACTAATTACTGGACTACTAATCATACAGTCTTGTGCGTTGGTGGCATAGCAGTTAGGACGCTCGCCGATCATGCACATGGTCTGGGGTTCGATCCCCGGCCGACGAACTCCTTCACCTCACTCAGCCAGAAGTAAAGCTGGTAAAGAGGAAAAGTTGGGCATGAGGCTAGCAACCCCAACCTGCAAAATAGACACTGCTACGGAAACTTCAAACAACTAGCCTGAAGCCCTATGTTTCACTGGGGAACGTGGAGGAAAGAAAAAAACTCATACAGTCATGACAAGGATATTTTTTCTAATAATATTATGGACCATTTCGATGTTCTACAACCCATCCCAAATCCCAAGTAACAAAGTCGAACAAAACTGTTCTTTTTTATTATTTTTTTATTACAGCTTGATTCCACACTGTATTTTTGGTACAAGTATGGAATTTTCAGCATATGATATCGGTAGCCCAAATTTTGCAGGCCGACTATAGATATCAGGTGTGGATCGGGAGAGGATCGAACTCCGGACAATGTGCATGATCGGCGAGAGTCCTAACCGCTGTGCCACCGACTCACAAGCTGGGGGAGACGTCGAATGACATCACGCACAATGCAGGCCATCGACCAAGTGGAACCCGAATGGAAAATGACGACTGAGGTGTAGTCGGTCCGAGGGTGGCACGGAGATTAGACAATATGGACAACCGTGAGATCAACTAAAGAAGTAAGCAGAAAATAGAACAAAGTGGAGAGGTGCTGCTGAAGCCCTATGTTCCACTCGGGACTCAGCTAGGAACAATAATGATACTACATGCAAATCGTTACCTCAGATTCAGGAGGCATAACGATTGATCGCCATTCAACTCTTTACCCATTTCCGATGTTATCAGGAGAAATCCAAAGACCATGACTCAGTCTGAGGGTAAGAATTGACGCGGTACTGTACTGCATTGCTGATTAAATCTGCTAACCGCCTTCCTTCAGCACATCGAAATTTTACGTCAACCCTATTTAGTAGTCGGACTGACCTGTGTTGATATCAGTGGTACTGTAATATTCTTTTCTACGACCACACTCTATTAAGAATAAGAATGACGATCAGTACAAACCATCACACCTTACATTATTACCATCGTCGAATTATCACAATGTTTGATAACAGACGACATGGAAGCATATCGTTCTGACTGTTTTACGTGAAAACTATTTACTGGTGCCTTCATAAAGTGTATTTACTAACAATGCTCGTGGACTCATGTTCTTATGAATCTATAATCCATCCTTTGCTAATACTGTTCAGGTCAACAACTTTTTACAAAGCTTACAGTGAATATACTCTTCTCAGTTTCAATTATATCTGTCAGTCATAGCTTATTCCATGATGACAGTTGAAATTCATTTCCAAGTTAGGGATAAAAGCTAACGGACACTTCGAATATTCATTCTTCCACTAGCCAAGGTTATATACAGCTTACAATCACACGCTATGGAGTTCATGAGCAAACCATTGTTGCACCTGGAGTCATATAAGATATAATTATTAGAAAAAGAGCAAACGCTTTATCATGAAAAATCCTACGAGAGATAGATAACTAGCCCAACTAATTTTACTCAGTTTGAAAAAGGCAGATTTCATATAATCGAAAGCTTATGACAGTAAAAAGAACACATTAAAAATTAACTGTGAATAATGAAATCATAGTAAAAACACATGAAAAAGCTTAGGCTGAGTACAATACACATGATAAAACCATTGTTCAAGCTATTTTAGGTAGATCGATGATAAATAAAAATAATGATTAAGTATAGTTTCATAGCAGAGTAAATTTGCTTGCCATAGGAACACAATGACAAAAATTATTCACCGATGACGTTCCAGTCCGTCTGCTGCTTAGGAGGTGTGAATTTAATGAGTACTAAACAGGCGTACACTTCACTCCGTGATGGAAAGGAGAAAATAGCAATAGTTGTAAATAGTTATCAAATGTAAATTCTGGCGGAAAAAATCACCTCTCTCTCTCTCTGTGTGTGTGTGTGTGTGTGTGTATGTATGTATGTATGAATACAATCAAATCACAAATGACACTGATTCAACAGTGAAACAGTGTATGAGATAGTAACACCACTTAGCATAATTAAGACTAGGAATGAATAGATTTAAGTCACAGTGTGTCTCCAACTTTCAACCATTTCATTGAGAAAGCAATTCTACAAAAGTGCTGACCCGTTACTATCTATTATAGTAACACACATTAACAAAGTTGACACGGGATCTGAAATATTTTCATCATCCATTGAAAAAGTTTTTGGCAAAGAAAATTTATATTCATCGATATGTAAAGAACAAAAATTGGTTGAAAGATCAAAATCACCGGTAAACTAACATCGCCGAAATGGCTCTTTGTTTTTTTCACCTAAGTAAACAGTGCATATGCATGCGCACGTAAACAGTATTGAAGAAATACCAAGGTGCATCTGAATAAAAGATTGAATAATATACGCCATCAAGTGAAAATGATTCGCTTCGACATTTGCATACAACTTTATTTTCCCACCATTTATACACTAGTTACTTCTTATATATATATAATAGTCCTATTTGCCATCAAATATGACCACTAAACTCTGCATCACTGATCAGGAGGCACACCTTGCAACAACTTTTTACATTCGCCAAGTACGAAACACACAGACCTGACTTAGGAAATATGCAGTATCACACCATTTGTTAAGTGGATCCTTGAGCTGAGGACAGAGGTTCTTTGATCAGATTACTTCCAGGGAAGCATGCAATGAATAAAACACATGTGTAAGTGTGACCTTCGATAATGTAAGAGTAATTGAAGATACAAATCGGAGCAACAACAGTTAGCGGACCGCTGAGTGGTGGTCATTATAAAATTCATGTATTCCTATTTAAAAAAATATATTCTAGATTTATATATTTGACCACAGTATATTGCCTTTGAAATATTACATAGGATTATGTATCACATAAGAACAGAAGAAAGGTAAAATTTGCATTGCAGTTGCTTAATAACGGTGAATAAAACAGAAACAAGAGAAAGGATAACAATGAGGACAACAGTAATGGAAATCAATCTTTTCAACAGGAAAGGAGACGTTTGCATGACAACAAGAATGAAGTATGTAGGTGACGGTGAAAATGTTATCTTGGTTTCGTAGTCGAATGTTGATATAAACAGACAGTTGGGAAATATTTATCTCACTTCAACATTAGGCATAAGAGCGTAAACCTAAAAAAGCAGTTTATTGTCCGTAAAAATCCTTACTGGCAAGAACCTTACCAATACAACAATTATATAATATTTAATTAGGCTTAAGAAAGAGGTTAAAATGATTACTATCAAATCAAATAAGAAATTCACACTCAAAGACTGAGGGTTAAAGTACATGTAAACAAGATAAAACTTGATTTGTGTGAACTTTTAAATTTGTGTAGGGTGGAAAAAGGCACCATCAAATTAATCACTAATGTGTGTGTGCATATTTAAAGGAGGTTAAGCGTCGGACAAAGCTACATTTTCAATTTCTAAAGGTCGAATGCACTTAAATATGATATGAAAAAGTGCCATAATTTTTAATTTAATACAATAATAAATGTCAATTTTAAAACGAAAAAAAAAGAGTATCAGAGACTCACTTGTTCGGCTAAGAAAACAACAGAATCCACTGGTGCCCATGGAACGGGACCAGAATGACATAAATCAGTCCTTTGATTCCCTGAGGACGTGGTTGATTCTTTTCCACTTTCAATAGACACAGGCCAATAACAACGAAATATTTCACCCAAAGTAGGATTATACGGTTTTTTAGCAACTGATGATCGTCTGCCTGCATGAAATGCCGATAAATACCAACGTAGACAGGCAACCATACGATCACGCGGTGTTGGAGCATCAGGAATGACAGCCCATAAGTCAGCATGTGCTAAAAAATCTGCATACATTTCTAGTGTAGAACGACGTTCGAGAATAAATGTCGGTAGGGTGATCCTAGTCAGGTCCATTCCAATCCGAAGTTGAGAAAGTAGATGTGTAATCACAGATCCATGGGACTGTACAGAGCCCACTTTATTGTATGAAAAGTAATAAATACATATGACAAAACTAAATTCCTTGTGAAAAATGTATGAAGGTGAACTACTACACTGAAAACTAACTAAATTTTGTCAACAGTGTCTTGATCCCACAGCGGAAAACCGTATTGATGTAAGAAGCTCAATCACATACTTACAAAACAACAGGTGTCACTTGAAATTTGCAATAACTTCTGCTTCTTCAACAGTGCGACTACCTAGATGAATGCTTACTGAAACTAATATGCTGACAAACCACTTAAATAATAAAGCGTCTCAATCATATATATTAGGAATTTATTCACTATAACCATTTCGAAATCTCATAGTGATATTTAATATTTTTTAAGAAAAGTACCATGAGTAGAGTTTAGGAGCAGTGGTAGGATATAAATCGATATTGGACAAGTGAAATAATATCCGAGAAAAAGGCACCCTAATTAGCTCCCAGGATAGACGACTGGAAAGTTGGAAAGAACACTTTGAGAAGCAACTCAATTCGCCTTCAGCCACGCTCAACTTACTCAGCAACCAACACCTCCCTGAATGGGATATAGATACAGGTCCTCCGTTCATAACTGGGGATTACAAAAGCTTTCATTAGTCTAAAACGACGCAACATAGCGGGACCCGACAGAATGACTCCAGGTGTTTAAGGATGGCGGAAACAGTTTACTGTCTGCGCCAACTAAGGTATTAGGCGGCGTCCAGGAATCAGAAGAAGTCCCTTCGGACTGGTGTAAGTTATTGATTATTCCAACATACAAGAAGAGAGACAAGTCTTCCCGTGATGTTCACAGGTGGATTAGCTTGACCAATGTGGTATCTGGAGTTCTAGGTTCAATAATCATGCATAGACTAAGTGGTCCTCGAGAGGAACAAACACGAGAGAACTAGCCAGACTTTAGGCCAGGAAGAGGGTGTATTGATCATATCTTCACTCTTCGACAATTACTCTGGAACATAGGCATACTTACAGGCAGCCAACAATAGTCATATTTCTTGACCTTAAAGCGGCATTCTATTCCATTGACCGAGAGGTACTATGGCAGTGCTTGCCTGTAAAGGGAATGACGAGAAAATACACTGAACTTATCAAGGCACTCTACTCGAACTCATTCAGTCAGTCAGGTGACAGTTGTCATCTGACAAGTGTGGTGAAAACCAAATGGTGTCCACTGTCCCCATTTCTATTTAAATTCATCATAGGTATCGGACTAATGGACTCAACTCTAACTGACTTCAGCGTCCCAGGGATCAGCTTGCTACCAGGGAATAATCTCGCTGACTTAGAATATGCAGATGATATAGTCCTCCTTCCTAGGTGAAGACGCTGACAAAATACAAAGTTTTCTGAAGGTATTGAGCAGAAATCTTCGAATGTTTGGCATGCGATCCGCTCCTGTCAAATGCAAGATGATGCTACAGGACTGCACTAAATTGACTCCTAGCTTAGAAATAGGTAGTGAATTGGTGGAGCATGTTGACCGCTTCACTTATTTGGGAAGTTGCATCGGCCAACGCCAGTGAGTTGATCGCTGACGAAATCTCAGCACGGATACAGAGAGCACGTTTTGCATATGCCAGTTTATGCCATCTCTAGCGTATCTGGGGATCGATCAAAGGACATAAGCACTGCTCAGCAGTTCGCAAGACAAGAAAAGGCCGTCTGGCTGTTTTTGGTCATCGGTGTTTGCGTTCTATCTCTCGTGTGAAGTGGTGTAATAGAGTGAGCAATATCGAGGTTAGGCCTCAAGTGCTAGGGATAAAGAGGGGAAATCAATCGACGAGGTCATGAAGTTACACCGTTGGGATGGTTAGGACATGTGTTACATGTGTCTAGCCTCATAATTATTTGAAAAGCCACAATGAAGACTTTTTGCCACTTTTGGTGTTAATTATACAAAAAAGAAGAAGATATCGTTTCACTTTTAGCTGGAAATTTGAGTTATTAATATTTCTAACAGATGAATCAAGTTCACATGCTACTCTTTTAGCAAGTGCACGTATTAGTTTATAAGATTCAGTTAAAACTATGAGAGAAAAAAGGTAACCAATCTATATTCGGTCACCTGACAGTCTTGACAAGCTGTAAAGCAGATAAATCAGATTCAGTTGAGATGGCTGAAGTGATGAAAATTAGAGATTCACGTACTAAAGTATGCTCATTAGTTTACTTTGAGAATTGTACAAGCATAAAAACAAAGGTTTATTCCTTTCGGATACATGACTTCTGCCATGGTCAACAAAATTATCATTACCAATTTTCGCATGCGTCTTTAAACTATCAATACTGGGATTATTTTTTTTGATTTACAGCTTGATTCCACAATGTCTTTTCGGTACAAGTATGGAATTTTCAGCATGGATATCGGTAGCCCAAATTTTGCAGGCCGACCAGGTATAGAGTTGTAACAAATCTATCAGATCAAATTGACACCTGATAAAATAATTATTGGTTACATGATTTCATCATGAGCTGATATTAGTTAGAGAACCATTGGAAAACCTGGGAGTACTGGACAGCTGTTTCGTCCTAGTTTGGGACTCTTCAACAGTACGCACCCACACCACATGGTTCGAACCCAAGGATCTTCTGGTTACAAGGCGAGCTCGTATACAAATAAGCCATTGGGACCCGATCGAATGATCCTTGAATTCAACCAAATCCCTACAAACCAACACTTCAAAATAATTATTAATACAAAAACACAAGAATGTGCATGTCATTAATATTCCAATAACAGTAATTATAATTAATAAATAGAATAAAAACAGTCAAAAATTTCTACACATTACTTACATTCCTCTTCATTTTCATCATCATATAGTTCATCAAAGACATCATCTGAAGATAAATCTGACTGATTATTAGCAGATGACTGACTGACACGATAACGACCTGTTTTTGTCACAGGAGCAATTGGATTGGAATGAATATTTGTATTCATATTTGTACTACTGAAACAGAAAAGTCGGTTCACATTTTTTTTGTCTCATTTAAAGAATATGCACAACATCACAACGTGTGTTTTTAAGTGTAGCCAGTCTATGTAAAAAAATGAAACTAAATTATTTCTATAGGGACATACTGAAAACTGGTATCAAGGTCAACTGTAAATGGCCACTTAATTAGAATAACCGCAGAAAAGTCTGCCAATTGTATGAAGAATGCAACAGTGACTAAATATCGCTTTTAAATCACCACAGAAAATGATATGCGATTACAATGAATGAATGACCTCGTTAAAAAGTCGAATGTCCAGACAAAGTCACAAGTTTATTTATTTATACGATAATAAAAGAGATGTTTCCATAGTATTGTAAGTTTTAGATACAACAATTATGTAATACAAAAAGTGTCAACAGAGTAGAAATTTAAAAAAATAATTAAATAAGTAAATTGTATGACGTATGTATGACAAGACTCAGAAGAGCTTAGTTCAAACTGAAAGAGGACCAAGCTAAGATAAGTGTCATAAAGAGTAGAATTGTAATATTGCGGAGTGGGGAAAGAAGGAGAGTAAATTACATAATTACAAAAAAATTAAAAATTAGAAACAACAGAATCATCATAACCAACGTTAGATGTCTTGAATTAGGTTCAGTGGTTGTACAAACTTCTGTATGCCGAGTTCAGAATTTATTCAGTGGATTGCCATAGCTTCTGTGGTTTGAAGAAGTTTGATTCGTATTTCTTTGGCAAGATTTCAACGTATTCTATAGATGACTTTGAAATTAGCTTGCTGGTACGCTCGATGTCCGGAGTCGATTAGGTGCTCCAGAATAGAGCTGAGAAGGGATCTTTTTCTGCTTTATAAAACTGACTAACTGGTTTCAACATAGAACTTTGCACTGATGTGCAGCAGTTCGAGTCACCACACTTCACTTAGCACACAAAGCAACAGAAGTAAAAAGAAATGCAAAACAGAGACAGTAAACAGAGATATGAGGCAAAAAGAATAGTAATATCGAAGAACTGGTGTAACTTCACAGCCTTGTCCATTGATTTCCCCTCCTTACCTAGCACTCGAGGCCTAACCTCAATATATCACTTCACACGGGAGATAGAACGTGGACACATTTACGCTCTATAAAGCCGTTAGAATAAGTATTCGATTCGACGTTGCGACAACCTAGCACTACAGTAGTAAGTGAATGGATAGACACATATTGATACGACCAGAAACGATAGCTTATTCTTCACTTTCATACATATGATTAGTTTTAAAGACAAAGTAAGTTGCAATTCAGCTGAGAAGCTTTTCTTTAATGACTAGGATAGGTGGTTGCTTTGTATTTCTGGCGATGAATCTCCAGTGAGGTGCAGATTCGGAAAGGAAAGTTCCTCGGGGGGGGGAGGGAAGCATGCGGTCTTATTGGTACAGGTCGCATGGATTTTTTGGTGAAGCGTTTGGAGTAGCCATTTTCAATGAGAATCCTTTTTAGAGTGATCAGCTCCTATTCCACGGTATCAGGGATGCAAATGTTTGTGAGTAATCCGTCTGTGGATGAACCTTTTCAGGGTTTTATTTTATACGTTGAACACACAAGAAGGCTATTTTACAGTCGGACTCCTATATTATGTACTGGATTGCAGGGCAGTAAGTTGTTGGAAAAATTTCTGAATATCTGCAAATTCATTTCATCATTACAGATATTAAAAGAATCACCAATGTATCTCGTGGGGAACCCACAGGTGTTAATCATTTTCTTTAAGCATGTGTTTTAGAGTCTCGACATGAAGAAGTCTGCAAGCAACGGGCTTAGTAGTGAGCCTATAGCCAGGTCATCATTTTTGTCTATATGCTTCAGCATTGGAAGGAAATCAGAAATTTAAAGTGTATTCTTAAAAGGAGTCTTTTTCACATAGTAAGTAGGTATTACAGTGTTTAATCCCTCTGAATTATTGTGTTCAGATATGTATAGCACATTGGTTCAGTTGATAGGCCGTTCGTAAACAATGAGACTGTACCTCGTGAAAGCATGATTTGTTTAGAAACGTTGACGTTTTGCAATGGAATTGACAAAGTCAAAGGAATCTTAGAGTGAGTGGCAGAAAACTTACATTCTGCTTGATACGAGCAGGTTTACTAACTATTGGGCAATGTGACGATAATTTTAATTCATCATATAAAGAATAGGTTGAAGAGGTGTGGTTTTCTTGTAAACTTTTGGCGATCAATACTGTCAGTGTATATTTGAACCAGATGGTCTCAGTGATTCAAACATTCCGGTGTCAATGATTGATTCAGTCTCCAGTTTTCGGAGGATGTCAGTAAATTTTTGTTCAGTTTACTGCACCATATTCTTTTATAAATTTAGACTCGTCAGATAGGGCGACTAGCAGGTTTACTGATGTAGCCCTCGTGATTCATTAGTACGATTCCCTCATCTTTATCAAGGAGTATCAGATTAACTTTCTTATTTTATACATTTTATACTGCAATTCTGGTCTTCCTTTCTCTATCGAAACTTTCTTATTGTTCATCAACTTTTTCATCTTTTTATGGTGTTTGGTTTGCTATTTATAAACATGTGACAGCTGTTAATGACTGCTGAATCGAATTGTTGTCGGTTCTCTTCAGATGCTAGTGCTAGATCATAAGTTTGATTTACCAGGTTTTTAGACTGAACCTGGGATTGAAGCTTCAGGATATCTGATGGTTTTGTGAAGCACTTTGCACCCAGATATGGTGCCTTCGCTGAAAATCTTTTCTTTTATAAAGAGAACAGTAAGTATTTCCATGATGACTCTTTTCTCAGCGGTGAATAGATAATACGCAAGATGTGAACAAAACAAAATGAATAGTTGAATTGAAAAGTTGAAAGCCTTTAACAATTCAAGAACTCATCAATAGGAGACTCCTCGCTATACCACTTGTTCTTCTTTTTTTCTCAATGTCCTAAGGGGGTACCATTCACACACACACACACACTGATAGTCTGACAAATCATTGATACGAATTTTGGATAAATCACATGATATATTATATAAGTTCATTATGAGCTAATATAAGTTTACGTTCTTCCGGCAGATAGATTCTATCCAATTCAGATACTACTAAGCTTTATGTTTAGACTGTGATAGCAGAAAATAGTTAAACTGCGACACTTACAACACACTTAGTAAAAAACAGAAGCTTAAACAGGCCCTGACAACAAAACGACTGAATCACAGTGTGCTATTAGCAAATTTAAGGATCACAAAATACAAAAGCAATAAGTGAAAGAAAGAAAATAAACAACAGAAGTTATCCTATCAATGACTTTCTTCATATACTTCTTCACCGGTGAAACAAAAAATACACATTTTGAAACCACTTACGGAAAATATTGAAACCAACATACGACAATGATGCAATACAATGTAACCAACCGTTCCCGCGAGATTAAAGTTATGCTTTAATATAAACCTTCATTCTTTTTTTTTGTTTAAGATAAAATCCAACCGTAACAATAACACGCTTTACATATATATGTATATATTAATAAAATCCAAGCATTTTGTTTTACAATCAGAAGTATGATGCGAATAGATTTTATAGTGAGGAAAGCTAATATTGAGGAAAAATCATTCGCACACGCTTCATAAGTCAGATAACAATCTTGTTGTGATAACCTTATCAAATGATTGGTTGCCTTTGTAACTGTGCTGTCACTGGTTGCACACATACTACGATTGGCTATTCGTGTGACTTGATCCTTGACCTTGTGACTAAGTTATTTCTTAGTGGTTTGTGTCAGTCCTTCTATAGATTATCAGCTGATCTGAGTGCTGAGATTTCACGTATATATATATATATATATGCATTTTCAATAATATCTTGTATTATCAGTTTGGAAAACACGCATTTTTATTTAGTATGCAGATGATAAGTCTGTTGTTGTTGTTGATAAAAGAGATTAAAAATATATAATGATTACGAATAAGTTATCAATAACGAGAGTTACAGAAAACTAATCTGAATTCTCACATGTATCAAAAAATTATAACGTAAAGACTAAAGTGTGTAGTATGACAACTGTGGTTGTGATAATGAAACAAAACACGAGGAAAGTTACTAGAAAAATATAAATATAAAACTTAGTAAACACACGGGTCTATGCATATGTTTGTGAAGCACTCTTAATGTGATTCGGGGGGGGGGTGTTGTAACCTCAGTATTAGAAATACAATGTCAAAAGATTGGGCACAGTCATAACTAAGAGATGAAAAGTAATCGAATCACTCGACAAAAGGATCGCGGACAAAATTCTAAGTATACACTAATGCTTATATAACTTGAAAGAACTGTTACCTTTGGTTGTAGTGCAAAAAGATTTCAAAGGGCAACGCGAATACACAAATAGGATCTTTTATGCTGTACCATAAAAATATAAATAATAACTATCCGTTACACATGCAGTAGATAGACAAAAACGCTCAACTTTATAAATAAGACACAACTATAGCACCAAGTACAAGGAAATAGTATGGCGAACAGGGGTTAGTTTATTTTTCTTTATGTTAACAGGCATTAACAACAAGTATTGTGAAAACTGAGTGTGAACATTTTAAAGAAAGGAAAGACTTCAAGAATTCTTGGAATCTGAGCTTTTCGATCAGTCATATAATGATTGCACGAGCAGGTGTAAACTCAATAAGGAAAATGATAAATTTTCGGGATCTGTATTCCGGAAAATACTGTGTAACCATTATCGACTCAATGGAATGAACCAATGAATTTGAAGAATCTACAAGTCAGTGACACACTCCATTTCCTTAAAGGTAAATAGGTAAATTTGGATAGCACTATTAGAAGACGGAGTTCATATGAAAAATGTGATGTATTCGCCCATATTTCAAACAATCTGACCCTACACATACATATTCGAACGCACGGTTATTACAGATAATATTAAGGCTCAAACTAAAATTCGCTAATGTGATAACTATATGTGCACAAAAACAATTTACGGTTACCCTTAACCTACTTTGGTAATCCTTATCTGATTATACTACTACACCGAGTAATGTCAATTATCAAGGTCCAACTATTCAAATCCCTTATTTTATTTTTTTTAAGTTGATCACGGATTGATATCAGTTAGAGAACCATTGAAAACCTTATAACCTTATTATTTTGGTTTATTTCAATTGACTTTTCATATTTTCATCTTTCACATAAATTGAATTGACCAGTGTGTGATCAAAGATTGTTCGGAGTGTATTTATTGTGTGCAAATACACCACATTTTTCAGATAAACTCTGTCTATGAATAGTGTGCTATTCAAATTTATTATAGGGAATAATTATGGTAAACAAGTAAGCTTTTTCTTTTCGCTTTTTCAGGAAGCCTAAAAGGCAAAACATAGTCAAGATAGCTAACCAAGTATTCGAATACAAAGAGTATGAGAACGAAATGGAGTGAATGAAGCAAAGCACATGTTATAAAACGTTTATTAGATACCATTTTAAGCAAAATTTATCTCGCTTAATTGCACCAACTTCTAATGACTCAATGTAACGTAAGTATGATACGAACTGTTACATCAAAAGAAATAAGCTAATTCCGTTAAGAGCGTGTATCTGTGGGAAATTAGCTAGTAACAACACCTATCAGAGCGTCGGTGGCACAGCGGTTAGGACACTCGCCGACCATGCACATGGTCCAGCGTTCGATCTCCGGCCACAGACGCACTCCTTTACCTTGCTAAGCCAGAAATAATCCTGGTAAAGGGGAACGGTTGGGCATGAGGCTAACAACCTCATCCTGTAAAATAAACACTGCTTGAGACCCTATGTTCCACTGGGGAACGTGAAGGAAAAAAAACACCTATCAGCATAATAAAGTATCACGAAGTATATTCCAGCTACAGTCGACAACATACTTCGGTACATGTTTTCAATAACAACTGTGGAGAATTCCTTTAAGCGGTAACTATTCAGGTAAGATAATAAGAATTTCGCATCTAATTCAAGGTTAAAAAGAGCGTCAAGAAAAAACAATCAGCAGACATAAACATTTATAAACCTAATCAAAACAAATACATACTCTTTCATTGGATGAGGAGAATTGGACAAAGTACAGGTCGCAGAAATGTCTTCTTGAGTATCGAAGAATTCTTCGTCGTCTTCTTCTTGATCCAACGGAGCACGATCATCATCCGAAGAAGAATATGATCTAACTGGCATTCTCGATATAGACAACGGTTGATAATTCAAAGACGGGGAATCTAAAATATCGAAATTTCCTTTTATAATGATACCACCAGTGGGAAGCGAGGAAGAAATAGCTGTTTGATTTTCAACGTTGGAGCTTATAGAGGTACATTCAATGGACGATTCAGTAGTAGAAGATGGGCGTTTGTGTATTTTACCCTTTTCTAAACGTCGAGAATTACGTGCAGAGTGTTTTCTCGAAGGAGGTTTTGGCATTACAGGAGAAGCGCCATATAAAGATTCCTGACAAGTAAGGAAAGTATTTTCTCCATCTCCTTCACCGCTTCGGCTGTATGCAAATGTTTGATGTGTAGTGGGTGCTTTCAAATCGTAATCTGAATAAGTGTTATTAGGTAACGGTGAAATAGAATCACAGCAATGAGAAGCATTTGCATTAATCGTAACGAGATCAAACGCATTTTCTACAAAATTAACAAATACTTAAATAAAGCTATTATATCCATTACAAATACTAGTGATTTAAAGTGTTGAAATCAGGTAGATTATTATGAATTAAAAGCCAATTTGAACGAAGAATATTCTTTTCAGTAATTTCTCTTCAGGTCCGCACAATTATAAAATATAATGCTTGTTGTCGTTACAATAATAATGACCAGTTATGCGGAGGATACATTTTTACCTAGAGTAGCAGATTAGTTATGGGGTGACAAAATGAATAGTATTTGAGTGACAAACAAGCTAGGCTGAATTCAATTACAAAATATTGTGAAATGGGAGACAATGATGGTGATTAGTCACAATAGATTCGTAGAACGTGGGGAGGGGGGTAGGTAAACTTGACAGGTCAGTTCAAGGTTATAAAAGGTATCAGGTGAGTGGCTAGTGCGAAGTGTTATGTATTAGAGAAGAGATGGTACGGTTGCAGTGAGAAGTAAAAATGTATCCTCAGCATAACTAACTGGGCATTATTATTGTAACGACAACAAATATTATATTTTATAATTGTGAGGACCTGAAAAGAAATTACTGAAAAGAATATTCTTCGTTCAGATTGACTTATAATTCACAATACTAAAGATTATTATGAGTTGCTTTAATATAATGCATCAAAAGATTCAGGAAATGCATACCTTGCAGATAAGTGTGACATGAAATTTCACAGCCAACTGACTTACTACACAAAACAACATGTCTGCTAATTAGTATTTAAAAAAGGTTATGACAAAATTATATATATGCCGCATAAAAATACATTTCAGGTATGGTTGTAGCGCACAACAAAGAACATAGTAAATTTCGTATGACATTATGAGGCCACAGTGCGTTCGTTATATCTTGTTATACGAACTTATTTACACAGAACAGTTTGCAGCTGAAGATGACTGTAGTGAATTCAATAAATAAAACAGAAATGTATTCCAGACTTAGTCAACCAAGGAAGGATACTTCTACTTAGCAATATATCAAACGAAATTAACAGAATAGGTTGTGACGTTCGATCGTGTTAATTAAGGTATACTGCTCTTATATGGGAAAATGAAACAAACTCCTATAAACAAGGGATATAATTAGCATAACAACTTCATGTATAGCTAAACGATAGACACCACCATTTTATTTTTGTTGGACAGTAAAAATGATGAAATAATCAGGTTATCGGGTTAACGAAGTACAACACTCCCCTTTCTCTCGACTTCCTCATTCATAATTCAGGAAATACTGCCTTAAAAAATACCTGACTTGTGAAAGTGAATTGGTAAACTCCTCTATGAAAAGAAATTAGTCCTAACGATTTCAATCACTTGAACAAGTAATATCGCATACCAGGCCGTAGGATGAGAAGAGATGAGTTGTGTATCTGAGGATGATGTAGAGGACATTATGTCAAAAGAGAAGAAAGGCTTTCGAGCAGTCGTGAAGCCAGTTAAGAAAGACTGGATAGAACAGATTACAAAAGATATGTGCTGCTGATGGCCTATATATATTTCATATGGAAACCAAGGAACGAGTAGTAATAATTTAAAACGATGACCGAAGAAATTGACTTTTAAAACTATTTTTTTTCTTTAGAAGACCGGTTCAAACCACCAAGTTACTTAAATTTCCATCCAGAACAATGCATCTAACTTTCTCTGTTTCTTCTTGTTTTAATCTTCTAATTATGTCCTCGGATGACAACATGGACTCAAGCAAATTTTTTAATTGGCTTCCAACGTACCACTGTGCATTTCAAGCCAAGGGAAAAAATGTCGTAGAGAATTGAGTCTTGTTTCAGACAGAAGTGGAGTAAATATTTCTTAAGAAATTACTCTGAGAATTCTGTAGTGTGTTGAAACATAATTCCGAGAATAAAGCTGATAATTACCATTTACAAAATACTACAAATCTGACAAAACTTATAAATAATTAATTAATGAAGCAAAAGTAAATAATACCTTTCTTTCTCAGAGAACTACCGCAATTCGATGCAGCAAACTGGTCGAAATGTATAGAACGTTGGACGTCAACACCATCTGAGATAAAGGCATCACTTGAATTAATCGGTATCCGATAAGAGGCAGTAACGGTACCCTAAAATGAAATTATTTGAGACAGTTATTTTATATCCCAAAGTTTGGAAATTTGTTTACATAGAAGAAAATGGAGTATGTCTCAAATAGAAGACAAGACGACCACTAATAAACACAGAAAACGCAGTTAGTCTAACTGAACATGTATTTCTTTCAAATATATATATATATATATATATATATATATATATATATATATATATATATATATATATACATATATATATAATTTCCTTCACGCTCCCAGTGGAACATAGGGCTTCAAGCTGGAGGCTTGAAGTGTCTGTAGCAGTATTTATTTTTACAGGATGGGGTTGCTAGGCCCATCCCCAACCTTTCCACTTTAGCAGTCTTGTTACTGGATAAGTGAGGTAAAGGAGTGCGTCGGCCGGTGATCGAACCCCAGACCATGTGTATGGTCAGCGAGCATGCTAACCGCTGTGCCACCGACGCACACTTTCAAATAAAATCAAAATGAGTTAATTATCTCAGAGTTAATAGAGACCTATGATGGGAATATTTGCAACTACTTGAATATAGTATATGATGTCTGCATTAATAAAACGAAAATAGTTCGCAGCAAAGTTAAAATAGAAAAACAACTCAATGGTTGTCTTGCATTTGTGTATGAAATATATATATATCGATATCAAGCTGCCGACAAATAGACCAGACAATTTTAGTGTTTCAATGCCAATTTTATCACAGATCGACTACTTAAGATATCACAAGGACAGGGCACTGATGAACAGTGCACAGCAGCACTCTTTGTCTTATTTAACAATTCTCTGAATAGTGTCAAATCGAAACCAACACATCCACTGAAATTAAATCAAAACCAAGAAAAATCTGATCAGAATCATGTTCACTGTATCACATCAGCATCTCTCTATTTGATGGTTACTGCATACCGAGTAATTCACAACAAGAAGCTCACTGAAGTTGTTGAAGTGGAGATAAGTGTATGACAAGAGAAAATCGAATACTGTCTAGAGAATTCACAACATGCTAACGAAGCTGTTGGACTCATCGTAACAGTGAACTTTCACAAGTGATATTAATTAGTTGGCTGGAGAAAGTCATCAAAAGCAAACCAGTCAGCTGATTAATAAAGATACCTTATTACTGAACAAAAAGCTAAAAATAAAAATTATTACGACAGAAGAATGTACAATACAGAGATCAGCTGAAAACCTGTCTAAATGTACAAATTAGTTATGCAAAAAATAATTTTCATTGCATCTACATATGTGTAGAAATATTCTAAAAGTTTGTATACACACTAATATAGAATTAATTAACGAATGGCTTAGTATAAGATACACCATTTCTTCTATGTATGCAGCAAAACACAGTTATTAAATCACTAGAGATAGTCGGCAGGAAGCGCTCTTAGACCGATATAATTTAGTCAGTATCATTAAAGCCCGAACAAATGACACTGGCTACACCCTAATAACCCAGTCAATGAAATGTTCACTACTATTTATAACAATACAACTTATTAAATCCCATTTACGTCACCCATTGTACAACATAAATGAACAAATAATGTTGAATAATATAATATTATTATTCACAATAATTCATTGGTTGCAGAATCAGACAATATCTCCTATTCTTTAACTGTGGAGGGTGGTAAGTTGGACTGCTGCACTTTTGTGCAAAGTCCTACGTTAAGAGTTAATCAGTCAGTCAACCTATTCCTCTAATCATAATCAAAGCCATACAACTTAGTCACCTGAGAAATATTATTAGAAAGTAAAAGTTGTCTATACACTATTTGATGAGAGTATTGTCTGATACGATTTTCTGTAAAACAAAGTCTGACATTCGTCAAACAAGTACACAAACAACTTTTATGCACTGAGTTGTGAAGTATTAACATGGGAAGATTAATACGATTATTTAAATACTACTCAACTTCGATATGTGCACACAGATGTTGGTTGTACTGTTGTGTTTTTGACAAGTGAAATACCAGATGAAACAAGAATTAAAGGGTAGACAGACATATTCAGACACAAAAGTTTGACAGAAACAATACAGAATCTGGAACGAATGGGACACAGTCAGTCAGAATAGGTCAACTTCGAGTTAACACAACGACTGAAAATCGACAAGAGTGAAGTATGAAGTGACTTTTCATTTCGCACGAATCGTCAGTTGACAGTGGTTCTTCAAAAAAAACCTCTAATGAATTTAGTTTTAAAGTCATCATGTATATTCCTTTACAGTCATAAGAATGCCCCCAATAAAATTAAAACATACTCTAGCGAACTGGAGACAGACGATCGTTTTCTTCACCAACTCAATGAGTCTCTGAAAAAAAAGAAAGAATTAAAAACAATTAAATAAAAATTAACAATTGAAAGTTAAGATAGAGTTGGTAATGAATGAGAACATAGGTAGGAACAGTCAGTACCCACGAACTATGAAGGATAAATGAATTTAATTCTGAAGATATGAATGCAATCATAAAAAAAGTCAAACTCATTTAATATAATATTCAAGTGTTGGTTTGTAGGGATTTTGTTGATTGGTTACAGGATTTCATCATGAGCCGACATTAGTTAGAGAACCATTTAATATAAATGTTTGTTAAATTATGAGGATATATGAGTATATACAGGAAAGTTTCAGATTCATTTTTTTGCATTTGAAATGATAATCTACCTTACTGTGTTACTACCTCAAAACTTAAGAAATATCAAGCTGTCTGAATGAAGTATTTTAGTAAACGTGCCGATTATGTCTCCAAAATGTATAATAAAATAGAAATTCCTCAAAATGTGAGAACACCTAGTCACTTGAACTTGTCTCTAGATTTTAGCTTAATTTTTGCTTGAACAAAGATAGAACAAACATTTGTACAGAATAATATGGATCTATTTTATTTTTCCGGTTCTCATCACCTAGTTACAACACTTTGTCACCATAATTCAGTCGTCCAGTAAGGGTTGTTGTAGTAAGAAAGTCACAATGAAGCGAAAAATAAGGATTTTAAGGTTATATCAAACTACAAGCGATACATTTACAATTTATGGGAGACGTCTCTCGTAAAAAAAATGAACATGTTTTGTTGTTAGGGTGGTGATACAGTTGAGATAAAAATGAAATCAGAGATAATAAAATACAGTGAGTGATTAAACCCTATAAGATTAGAGAATCAAGATTTTGTGTGGAAAGCTACTGTAATACGGTGAGGAGAATTCAAAGGGAACAAAAATTAAGTCATCACTTTGTTTCCTTTCCATCCCACACATTTTTCGCCTGACTTTCATATAGGACTTGATAGGAAATTCTTCATTTTTTTTACAAAAAGCTTAGCTCTTATAAGGTGTATATGCTTCGTTTCACTATAACCATCTTCTTACAACAATCTTTACTAGAGGACTGATTCATGAGAAAATGTACGCAGCTGGAGCGGACCTATGAAATGAAATGGATCCGTATTGCTATGCACCAAAGTTTGTTCTATTTCTGTTCAAATTTATTAAAGGGGAATTAGTGTATGAAGTTTCTATTTTTGGTAATTTCCTCTGGAGAAGAAAGAATATATTAGCGTGCTCACTAACAACAACTGTGATGAAATCTATTTCCGATGTTTCATACTACTTATGAGTATATCAAATAAACAGAAATAAGCGGATGTATAAATCCGCTTGGGTGCACAACAAATATAGATATATATATGAATGGATTTACAGATGAATACAAAAGACTGAGATAGCAGATTTCAGCATGAACATTACAGCTAACCAGATTAAGTTGACCTGGAAAACAGAGCTATTTTGAGATGAATTTTTTCGAGTACATCACCATTGGATTTACTCATTAACTTGCAGTGAAAAATGTGTTAAATTCATTCTGATATATCTAGAAGTTAATAGAATGAATCTCTAGCTACTGTGATTATCAATAATTGGTTAACAACATTTTTCTAGAGTGTTTCACACATTCTGATCACACACACGAGTACTTGTCATACACAGTTTTTATAGAAGGCAAAAAAGAAGGCATGAATGATGACAATATAGGTCACGGTCACAAATAATGGATAGGGAGATGACGCAAAGGCGTAGGTAAGAAAGAGAAAAAGCAAAGCAAAGAAGAGGTTGAATATATTATGGAGTAAATTGATCTTCGCTTCTAAATTGGATTACCAAGGCAGGTTTAAAGTAATAGCAAATAACTTTTGGACACTTACGAAAGGTCCAAGTCTTTTTATGGCTAAGGCTTTAATGAATTTAAGTATGTGACCCAAAACTGTTTCATATATCGGCTTAAAGGCATTGTTGAAATCAACCTAATGACCAGTCTCTATAATACGCTTCGCTATAGATGATGTTGGACATCTATTTCCGGGGTCAGTTGTGTCTGGCGATTTCATTTGTTGTTGCAGCCTCTTTGGAATGTGTTATGTAGCCCTAACCTGCAGAGACCGATGGGTCCTCCCTATGCACGTGTGTCCATACATACATGTAAATTGGTAAACACAATGGGATGTGACACTATCGTTCGGATAATGTGAGGGCTTACAGGACAGCATAGTTCTCGTTTTCTCTATGAAGAGATAGGCTTAGCTGCATAATAAGTTCTATTAATTGCGGCCTTGAGTCTTTGTCTAGTGACTAGACTTTGTTGATCACTCCTGAACGGCAAGGATATGTAAACATCCTTTTTGGGAGCTGACTGGATTGATAGAGCTCTTTGGTTGATACTTCCATAACGCCTAATATAAGTCAGTGGGTAATTGTTATCTAACAATATTTCAGTGAGGTGTTATCTTTTTTCTTCAATTGTATCGGCAGTACATGTACGGTGAATGCGCTTGAACAAACACTTAAACAACGCCTTTTTATACTGTAATGGACAGAAACTATGATAATTAAGATACTGTCCTGTCCATGTGGACTTTCTGTAGACAGATCATTTTACTGATCCATCTTCTCGGCGGGTTATGAGTAGACCTAAAAATGGCAGGCAGTCATTATTCTCTCTAACGTATGTCGGCGATATGCTGTTTTGTACCCTGTTGATCTGGTTTAGGATTTATATGGCCTCTATCGGTTTATCACAAATTACTATTATGTCATCTACATATCTAATAAAAATATAAACTTTCCCGATTACTTATATATATATATATATATATATCAGCTAACAATGGACCTAGGGGGCTTCCCATTGCAACACCGTCGACAAGGCGATAATGCTCGGCCCCAAATGCAAACTTAACATTGTTTGTACATAGAAGCAGTAACTCTTTTAGACAGTGATAATAAGAAATTGTTGTCGGAGATGGAATCACATAAAATGTCAGCCGTCTGTAAAAGAAGTACATTTATAAATAAAGAATTAACATCTAGGGAAAATTTCAATAAAGAAAAAATCCCCATTTAGACATTTAGAAAACAGAAAGATTGAGCGAAGAAATATTTACTTTTTGATTAGATCCTCATCTCTGGCTCTACTCTAATATATATAGCGTTTTTATTACAATACACAACAGTTTACCAATCAAGTGGCAATATGTGTTTGTTCACAATAATTAGTCAGCGTCAAAATGGGTTGATAATTGACGAAGAAAATCAATGCAGATTTAAAAGGTGGAAATGGATAGAATAAATTAATTTTACAAGGATAACACGTAAATTAAAGATGAAGTGGTTAGAAAAAAATAAAATAAATAATTTAGACAAATATAATTTTATAGGTTTAGGGGGGGTGGGGTGACGCAGTCCTGTTTATCCATTCTTGTGACGATGGCCACGGTAGGGAAAGTGGCTGTACAAATTTCTTCTGTACACATAGGCTTGGCTTCTTCAGATGAATGCCAATCGCCTCAGCCGTCTGTAGAAGACGAACTCGCAAAGCAAAATTAAGATAAGTTGGAATGCGATAAATAATTTTAAATGCTGTATTAACATCAATCTTATGCTCAGTGTCAACGAGGTGGGCTAAAATAGAGCTACGAATAGATCTTTTTTGTCCCTTACTTAACCACGTTGGATGATGTTCGGAAATACGACGATGAACTTGCCTAATTGTACGCCCAATGTAGCTGGCTCCGCAGCTGCAGTCAAACTGGTAGATACACATAGAGGAGGCGAATTTAGGTAGTTTATCCTTATTTCTCGAACATAAAATAGGTGTGGTTGTAAAGAGACAACGTACCTCTGCTGCATAATAAGTTCTTTTAACTGCATTCTTCAGGCGCTGTGTTATTAATTCGCTGATGTTGTCACCGAGGAACTGCAATTTTATGAACATTGGTTTTTTCGGGACTGTGGCCATACTGACTCTCCTTGGAGCTGAATTTATATTTTTCTCAATGAATTTATCTGGATAGCCATTTTTCTAAGTAATTCTCTAATAATCTTAAGCTCCTCATTGAGGCAGTCGTCTGAACAGATTAACCTAGCTCTATGAACCAGACACTTCACGAGGTTACGTTTATATTTCAAAGGTACAAAACTCAAAAAATGAGTGTACTGACCTGTTGTTGTAGGCTTCCTATACACACTTCTTCTTAGTGTGCCATCTTCTCTCCTTACCATGAAGACGTCTAGGAATGAGATACTGTCATTACTTTCTTTCTCTATGGTAAAGTTTATTGCTGAATGTGCATCATTAAACTTGTCAAGGATGTTCATTGCATCATTCTCATCTTTCATAACCACAAATGTATCATCCATATATCGACAGTAGAAATCCATGTCATTAATTACTCCTTTCAGTGGTCCATTCTCTAATTTAGCGAGGAAAAATCAGCTAGGATTGGACCTAATGGGGAACCCATAGCCACACCATCAATTTGTCTGTAATATTCCTTATTGAATAAGAAATGAACATTCATTGTACATCTTAAAATAAGTTCCTTCAAGGTGGTTACAGAAATCCCGATATCTATGTTTCGTGTAGTAATCTCTTCACATATAAAATCCACTGTCTCCATTAACGGTACATTGGTGAACAAGGAGGATACATCAAAAGATATCATAAACTTGTCCCTCACATTAAGATCTCTTATTTTTTCAACAAATTCAAAACTGCCGTTTACGCTATGTTTTACCACTTCATTATGCAGAGGCTTTAGGAGCTTCACTAGCCATTTCGCTGTTGCGTGATATGGGGAATTACACATGTCCAATACTGGTCGAAGTGGCAAACCGATTTTATGCACTTTTGATAGTCCATATAGTCTTGGCGTAACCATGCCAGTAGGCTTTAACGATTCATATAAACCGCCTATTATGCTACTTTGTTGTTTAAGACTTTTTAGTGACTCAATTAGTTGTTCCTCAACTTTTTCTCTT